ACACACACACACACACACACACACACACACACACATATATATAACATTATATATTATATAGCAAATTTGTATGCATTCTTGTGAATTTTTATTAAATGCAGAGCTGCAGTGTATGGATTTCCTTCAGCTTTAATTGACCAGTTTAAATATATATATAAAATATATTTATTTTGGGACTGCTTTTCAGACCATTTGCCATTATAACTTTAAAGCCGCTAAATCATGTAATAGGAGACATTAACTGATTTCCTTTGAGAAACACAGGTTTCTGTTCCTCAGACCTGAACAACTCGTGTTCCATACGTACACAAGTTAGCAAAGATTACTATCTCATGAAACATCTTGTGCATCTGAATGATAGAAACTCCTAATTGTGAGTAGAGAACAAGATACCACCAGCAAAATTTTCAGTACTGGACCAGGTCTTCCCTTTGCTACCTCCATGTACTATTAAGTCTTCAAAAATTAGCCTTGTTGAAGCCAAGAGCAATATTTTTCAAGCTTAATTACTACATGGAGATTGAGCTCACAATTGGATAGAACATCGTTATGTTAGTGTAGAAAAATGGATAATGTTCATGAATCCATGTATTTGTGTGATGAGTGAGAGATGGGAATGGGTTTGCTCCCTTTAGTACCACATATGACTGATATTCAGAATGTGGCTGAAAACAATGTCCTCATTATGTCCTAAATGTAACCTAGTAGGGAGCCATTTAGAGTTCATCGCCAGCAGTATTTTGTCCAGCTTTACAGAACTGGGCTCACCTATCTAAATGTTCACGCTTCAGAATATAACCATGTTCATTTCCATGCTATGGTGTTGGTTCTATGCTTGCAGATTACAAAGCTTGTGAAGAATTACAGATCACATGGTGCATTGCTTGCATTGCCATCTAGGCTATTTTATCATAAGGAGCTAGAAGTCTGTGCTGATCCTTCAGTAGTAAACTCATTGTTGGGGTGGGAGAAGCTGCCAAAGAAAGGTTTTCCACTGATTTTTCATGGAATGAGGGTATGTAAACAAACCTATATCCGCATTATACTTAAAAAGTAGAGTGACTTTAGAAACCGCAGATGTACACAAAGGTATGTAAATCAATAAGCACATCACATTATTTAGATTGTTCTGATATCATGTAGTTTGAATACAAGAGACTTGATGTAAATGCTCCTTTTCTTCTCTATAATTTTATATATTCTTGGTGTTTATCTTAGCAAGAGAATTTTGCGATCTGCTGTTCCACTTTGGGAAAACCTGAGTGAGTGCTATCACTCATAATAAAATAATATTTTAAATTTTGCTTCTAGCAGTTTTAAAAGAATTATGTAAAAACCAGATGTGAAAAGAGGCTAATTAGCTTTCTGCCTTCACACATTTAGTCTTAAGAAAACTGAAACTGAGCTCATAAAGTGATGTCAGTCTGCTGATGAAAGCTGTTTTCATTAATGAAGATCATCTTCTAGAAAGGATGAGGGCAGATATTTAAATTCTAATCTATTTCTGGAGCAGCTATTGGTGATAGGAAATGCTTAGCTGTATCTCTTATTTTTCATTGGCTGAAATTACTGCTGATTTTTTTAAATTGATTTAGTATGAAGTAACCCAAATCCCTGTAAAAGAAGGAAAATACATTCAAAGGCCACGTAAGTTTGATGGAGGCCACATGTGAATAGAACAGGGGGAAGTGGTCATCATCAAAACATACAATGCATGAATCCAGAGTAAAGCCACTTTTTTCTTAAATCTACTCGTTCCATGTTAACCTCCACCACCATCTTACTGACTCACTAAACAATTAATTTCGTTTTACTGAACAGTATGGGGAGTTGGGGGAGGGGTCTGTCCAAAGAATTTTGGGAAACCTGCAGATTATATACTCCAGTTTTTGTGTTGGGAAACTGTAAGTGATCCAGAAGAAATTGAGAATGGCTGCAGAGAATGCATTCCTTTTAGCAAAGAACAATAACAATTACTGTTTAAATTCTGAGTATACTTCAAGCAGTTAATTCTGCCCTGTAAAATCTTTATTTTAAGGACCAGTTTTTCTGTAGAGACTACCATATACTAAAGTATAGTGGCTTGTCTGTAATGAGTGACTTAGAGCCCTTTTTTTAATTGCCCCAATGCTACAGTTTTATGTTCAGTCACTATTGAGGTTCCTCAGGGTTATAAATACAACATTTCTGGAGCAGCTCTGGATATTCAATGTCTCTTTGGACTTTTACTATTAATCTGGATACTGTGCAAATAAAGTTAGGTACTTTTAACAATATTGCTTTCTGTGTTTTTCATTCTTGCCTTGCTAATGTTAGGGCACCGAAATGCGTGAAGGCTGCAATCCTTCTTGGTTCAATCCTACAGAAGCAGTTCAGGTGATGCGCTACTGTTGTCTTCTTGCTAAAAGCATCAGCCATTCAGTATCAGAGAAGGACATTGGAGTGATTACGCCTTATCGAAAGCAGGTATATCTCTGTGCTTTAGCTTTTTGTATTTGTTTTGGTATCTTCAGGTACACTGTATATTTTGATGTTAATTTTTTGGTAAGACCTGAAGGGAATCTAATTTATGTTACTGGGTTATAATTATGAACACTAAAAACATTCCTTTTTTTTTTTTTATTGTTAAGAGATATGGTGTTCCTGAATCTCCTCATAGATAAACCAAGGCATTTGAAGTTCCCAAGATGTATGTTCCAGCTTCTTAGAAATGCCACTTCTAAGTTATAAATTTGCTTCTCTGCACTTGTTCAAAATGTAAAATATACTCTATGCATTCTAAAAGTATTATGTGAAAATCATGATGAGCTGAGGTTAATATTTATGGACCCATCTGGTGAGGCCCTAGCACATGGAGGATTGTGATTTGGAATATAGGGGAATATGTATTAACAAATGAAATTAAAGGAAGAAAAATATATTGTGTGATTTGTAAAATTAGGAGAAAGGGGACAGATATAATAGAGCTGAATGAACATTCCCTGATCTTGCGAGGTAGATTTGATGAAAACATGTATGGAAGTGAAGGCATAGGTTTAATTATGAAAAGGGCTAAAATATATGTCAGAAGTGAATCGTATAATTTAGGTTATTGTGTGTACTTATGAAAGAAGGAATTTATAAGTTGGTGATAGCTGCATGACTCAGAACCTGAATGATTTGCAGAGAATGATAGATAATGCCAAAAGAATATGGATCTGAAGATGAATGTATCAAAGGCCAAAGCAGTTGTATTTGACAGGGAAAACAGCATACAAGTTCCATATAAATGGGAAAAAAACTAAAGCAAGTAGATGTAATGGGTAGCGTGTGGTATGTTACCCAGAGTGCGATCTGTTACAAAGAATGACTATGAAATAAGTCAAAGCGACTAGATAAGAATGTTGTTCTGCCCACTTCGTTGTATGAAATTAAGAGTTGGGCGTCCCAGGAGAAATAAATTTAACACAGTGGGAACAGGGTCAAGATGAGTGGATGGTAAAACAAGAGATAAGGTCAAGAATGAAAGGATGTTGAATAAATATGGACTGAATACCAAAATTATTGACCAGTGCAAAAGAAATTCATTGGATGATTTGGTCATATAGAGAAAATGAATGAGGTTCAGTTCATACGGGAAAACTATTCAAAAATTTCAAAAATAGAATTCAGGAATGACATGTTTACTGTTTCAGCACTTGAATCATTTTTATCAAATCATGATTCTATTTCTTGAGCCTAATGCTTGCTGTGAAATAATATGTGAAAAGTAATAATCTCTATTTTTAGGTAGAAAAAGTCAGAATTCTCTTACGCAGTGTGGATCTAGCAGATATTAAAGTTGGCTCAGTAGAGGAGTTTCAAGGGCAAGAATTCCTAGTGATCATCATTTCAACAGTATGTAGTGAAGCGCTATTTTGTATATTGGCATTCAGATGGCAATCTCATTCCCCAAATTAGCAAGCTGAAGTAGCTGAAAGTGCATGTGCAAGTGACTAGTAAACCCCAGGATAGGCAGCTGGTGTCCTCCGGGTATTTTGAACTGTTATTCTCACAATTACTTGATCATACTGGCTAGCTGAAGTCCAAAATGTCTGGAGGATAACTGCAGATAACACAGTCCTCTGCATGATTATTCATCAGCAGTTTTCAGTATGCGTAATGAAGCTGAGTCCAGATCAGTGGGCTTAAGACTGCAAGCTGTGTATTTGTATAAAAATGTGGTAGTCAGTTTATGTTGGTTGTACTATACCAGTACATAAAACCTTGGAGATTACAGTTACTATGTACATGGTATCAAATTTCTTTTGAGCTCTTTTTAACTGAGGAAATACTATTAAATATTTGGCTATTTAGGATGCAGTTCCTTTACTCATCAAGCTGTTAGACCACGATTTCTGGGGTTGTTGTGAGGACTTAGGTTCTAATTCACTTGCAGTACCTGGTAGAAGAGAATGGTTTATTCTGGGCTTTGAAACTTTTTAAAAGTACATGGCTGAAGCTGCACAACCACTACATCATGGTTATGTCCTATCTTTTTCTTCAGGAGCAAAAGGCAGCACAAATAGTACACTCTGCTCCCTTTTATGACCATAGTAACAACAGTCCAGTGTAGAAGGATGGGTTGAAAGAGAGTAACCAGCCCAAATTCATCCAGTTCGTTTCCATGGCTGAGGATAGAGTTGAACTTGGACTTCCCTAGTTCTGGTCCAACATTTAATCACTATGCTATATTGATCTTCAAATTATAGAATTGTCTGCAGTACTGTGCATATTTGAAGGAATTAAATGGTTGGTGCTTATGTTCCAGGTTCGGTCAAATGAAGCTTCAATCAGTGATGAAAGATACTTTTTAGGCTTTCTTGCTAATTCAAAGCGCTTTAATGTAGCAATTACCAGAGCCAAAGCTTTGCTCATTGTTGTGGGAAATCCTCATGTGCTTGCCAAAGTAAGAATTTCTTGTATATTACCTAATTCATGTTCATTTAATCACATTAGAGTAGTAAATTAATTGAGATATTGGTAGCTACCTGTGTCTATTTGTAGTTTAAAGTTCAGGGGAAATGCTATTTGGTAGTGTTTCATCCCACCCTTTCTTAAGGATACATTAATCTTTGAATGTGGGAAGGATAATTATATGGGATATGGTGAACTCAACCATAACTTAATTGAATGATGGTACAACAGGGAGCCAAGTGATGTCAGCAGAGGAAATCTTGTTTACTTGTAGTAACGGGTAATAGCATAAATGATCTTAAACATCTCACTTCTGGAGTTATAAAGTATTGCCTTGTCCTGGAAATGACCTATGTGGTCACTAAGTGTCGACACCAACTTGATGGCACCTAATCAAAAGTAATGCCACTTTTAATATCAAACTGTCCCTCCCCCCAAAAAGCAACCGCACTTTGTATCATTATCACTAAATATGCTACTTTGTTAGTAGATTGCATTGCATTTATTGTGTATGTACAACAGATACTATTTGACCAATTCAGTTGTCAGTTGCAGCAATAGTCCTCCATGCCATGAACATCATATTTCTGTTTATAGCTAATTCACAGTAATACAATTTTAGCTAATATAGTATGGTTCTTTATTTTATTTTGCTTCTTCTAACATAATTTTTCATAATTAAGAGAACAGTGAGTTCTCCTATAGGAGTGAATAAATCAAATATTAGTCTTTTCATATTGCCTTTATTGCCCACTATAAATTCTTGTTTCCATAGCCCAAAAGTTGTACGACATCTAGTAATAATGCAACAAACACCCCAAGAGATAAAAATGTTTTCTGTATATTTATCTGAGCTCCAAATTGAAGGGCTATAATGATATTGAGTTCTCCCTAAACTGAAATGCACCCAGCTGAAGATAGTCTGTAGTAATTAATACACTATAAGTTGGAATCCTACAAAGAGAAGTTAGTATTTTCCAATATGGTTGTGTACAAAATGGGAAATATGTTTTCTTTCAAATCCAGAAAAAAATCACAATTTTCTTGAAATTCTACTAAATCATTCCAGATTGGCTGCACTTCAGCAGAAATAAGACCCAGAACATTTTAGTTGTTCCTGGATTTGGCCAAAGCAAAATCTGGATAGTGAGTTTACAGGGCGAGTAGTCAAGTTTGTGAACATTGCTCCCTTCCTCCCTCCCTTCCTATTGACCATCCCACCATCCTGTCTTCCAAGCCCATTCCCTTCCTTTCCTTCTTCCCATGTTATCACTGCCAGTGTACTATTGTGTGTGCCCGTTCCTTTCCATGGTGGTCTCAGCAGTCGGGAACAGTTCTTCCAGCACAGCATGTCCTTCCCCTGCTGTCCTTCCCCTCTTTGTCCAACCCTTCCCTGAAACAGTTTTGCTTAGGGCAATTATATTTTGGCCCATAGTGCAAAGCCAGTTTGTTCCCTATTTTGATCAAAACAGCCAAATTGTGTTTTGGTTCAGGGGTAGACCACCTGAAACCAGCTATTCTGTGCTCAGAACATTTGCACATCTCTATTTTTCAGGAACAATTTCTTGTTAATTTCAAGTTGGGGAGAAGAAATAAATATTGATAATATTCAGATTGAAGATGCTTATTTTGTTTTTTTTTAATGAAATGAATTAGTTGTGAACATTAATGCTTCAATAGGTTTACACCAATTTTACATTATAAACTTACTAGCTTTATATTAATTTTTGACTAACAAATCATGGCATAATTTGGTAAGGTTGCTGAGTTTTCTGTTAGAAATCTAACTCCAAATGGGGTCTAGGATTTCATGGAAAAAGGGAATAACTAGTTAAATATGAGTGTAGTTTTGCATTTTAAGACATTTTTTGAATAACAAATCAATGCAGGTGCTCTTTAGGAATTTCCTTTTCTAAGAATGTTGGTTTTCATGGCAACATTGAATCCCTAGACTAAATTGTTAATTTAGAAAGTATGTAGAAGCTGGCCAGGTTTTGTTCCACCTTCACTAAAGTGATATGGAAATAACAAAGGATAACAAGAATTGGGAATAAATTGACCCAGGATATCTGGCCAGCTCAATCATAGTTTCCAAATCCTAATTTAGATCTTGTAACACTACTTTCTAGTTATCAGGATCTTTATTAAGTAAAATGTGCTGAGTATCTTAGATAATCACCAAATCAAGGCTTTCAGTATACCAGGCAATATGTCATTTGTCTCAGTGAAATTATAAATATTCCAAAAGCCAGTAAAAAAATTTAACAGGGTTTTGTTATGTTTATTATAAATCATAAGAAGTTAGACTATACTTGCTACAGTCCAGCTCCCACATTGCCATCTTAGGTATCCTAGCAACACTGAAAATCTGCTGCATGTAATGTCCTAAACATACTATTCTTTAGACCTGCTAGTATTAAATAATATAAATCAGAGTAGTATCTATGGCTGTTTTGTAGTATAATAGCTTGTACAGCTTTAATAATCTTCTTTCTTTTGGCCAGGATCCCTGTTTTAGTGCTCTCTTGGAATACAGTCTGATGAATGAAGTTTACATTGGCTGTGACTTGCCACAAGAACTTGAAAATCAGAATAAGTGAGTGTATTTTCAATATTATTGATGTAGAAATAAGTTGGAATGGATGAATCACTAAATAATGTGAGACTTTAATTCTGTCTTCTCTGGAGATCTGCCATAGGGGCCATAGGATAGAATGAGTGAAGCTCTTCTAGGGCAAAGAAGATGGTCTACACTCCCAAATCTCTTTCTTGCATATGTGAACTGAGATACATAATATTACAGACTTGTGGTGGTGTCATACATGTCTTCTCTAGGATTCTGTTCTTCCTTGTGGTATCTGTGATTCACTCCTAGGACTTGTGCACCTATGCGTAACCCGTTCAAAATCTTCTAGAGCTTCCAGAATTCTTAGTGAGGATACATATGTGCATGACTAGTCTTGCTTTACGCTGAGCCACCTTAATCCGTCTGGACCACAACAAACAATGACGTATCTATTCTTAGAGCTTGCAATTTTCCTAAAATATTTTTCTTCTGTTCCTTCATGTCATCTATTTTATTTTGATATACTTTAGGGTTTTTTGGGGGGCAGAGCGGTTGGTGCTTTCACGTCAAGTGTTGACTCCTGATGACTGCCTAGACTAGTCCCTGCAGTTTTCTTGGTGAGGTTTTTCGGAAGTGGCTTGCCATTGCCTGCTTTCTAGAGCTGAGGGAGAGTAAGTGGCCCAAGGTCATCCAGCTGGCTTTGTGCCTAAAGTGGGATGAACTCACAGTCTCCTGGTTTCTAGTCTGATGCCTTAACCACTATACCAAACTGGCTCTCTGTTTAGTCTGATTTACTTGTGTGTTTTTTTCCTTCCTAAAGAGTTTTGGGATAAGGCATTTTGAGAGTCCTCTGGCCTTGGACTTACAGCGTTGTGTCTGCCCCACCAGGTAGACCAGAGCAGGAATCAGCTCCACAGGAAGGCTAAGATTACTTTTACTGAGAGCTATATTACCAAAATCTTGCAAATTTGATTGTGTTGTACCTCCTTCTCTTCTTATATAACCCATGTAAATTAGGGAGGAGTCTGTCTGAGCTATTTTCACATATGTTCTGCTTGTTTTGAACTTAGCTGTGTTTTCCCCCTTGTCACTTTCCTGACAGATCTGGCCTGTCTCTGTCAAGATCATCTTCTTTACTTTCTACATCTTGATGGCCAATTGTGCCAGTGTTACAGAGCTAAACTTTCTCTAACAGGCATAACTATTCTGTCTTCTGCTGTCACTTAGTAGATTCTTATACCCACTGCCAAGCATTTAACTAATTAGGCTTGCTGCAAGTTTTAGTTCTGCGTGCGAGTTACTTATTGGAAGCCAGCTCTTTGATCAGCAGTCATCAAAGCTACTGTAGCTTTTCTACAGCAGACCCCCAAGGCTCCTATCATGTGCGAGAAGCTACCTGGGAACTTTCTTGATTCTTTCCAAGAAATGTAGAGCTCTCTATTTCCTGCAAAAAACAAAAACTCTAGTTACCGAAGGCTATAATGATACTGTAGTTACTGTAAACTGAAATGTAACCAATTGATGATAGTCTGTAATAAGTAATAGATTGTATGTGGAAATCACTCAATAAGCAGTGATTACTGAACCTTCCAAAAACCTGCCAAGTTCAGTCTTGATGAAGGCAAAAAGGGATAAAGGCCCTGTGGCTTCTCCAGTAGGGATTTCAGCAACTACAGGTCCTTTTCTGCAGTCTTCTCCATCTCCTCTGCTGCCATACTATTACTGGACTCACAGTCTGAATGTCAGAACTTCCAGCAATCAATCTATCAGCATATTAGTTGCTTGCTTTGTTTCTGCCATTTTTCATTAGGAGGAGGGGGGAACAAGGAAGGTGAAACCGTTAACACAGATGGACTGTTATCTGGGGCCAGGAATGTCCAAGGTCATACCAACATGAGAACTGGCTGAGGAAAAGGGGGGTGAGAAGTGAAGGTAAAAGTAGACAGGGAATGTGCGGGCTTTTTAGTTTCAGCAATGCTTTGAAGCTGCATGTACGTCTCAATAAATGAATTTCTTTTTGAACTCGATTCGAGTTTCAAGAGATTTTTCTTTGTTGGGATTTGAACATCGTAGATCTGACACTGAACCATCCACTTCTTTGGGCCCCCCTCAGACCTTAGACTCAAGTTTTGGAGGGAGGGATTCATAATACATCTGCTCAAAGGCCTCATTCACCAGATTCCTTTTCTGCACCCAAGACTGGAACACGACCTTTCCCAGCTTCTCTCTCAAAATCATTGACATTAAAGCTCCTTGTCATGTGATCACATTCTTTTGGGGTTTCCCTAAGTTCTGTGTTCTAAAAGCTTTCACTTTCTTCCAGCATTGACTATTAGGCCTCATGGCATCATCCTTGTCATATTTGCTGGTACATAATTCTTTTCCTGGCAAGATTTTCAGAAGTGATTTTGCCACTGCCTTCTTCCTGGGGCTAAGAAAGAGGGACTGGCCCAAACTGATTTTGTGCCTAAAGTGGGATTAGAGCTCATGGTCTCCTGGGTTCTAGCCTGGTGTAGTGATTGAGGCTGCAGGCACTAGTCCAGGCAGTCGCCAGGAGTCAACATTGACTTGAAGTTACAAATGTACATACATACATAAAATATAATACAGTGGTACCTCTACTTACGAACTTAATCCGTTCTGTGACTCTGATCGCAAGTCGAGTTGGTCGCATGTCAAAATAAATTTTCCCATAAGGTTCAGTGTAATTACCGTTAATCCGTTCCGGTGGGCGGAAAAATGGCCGCGGACCACGTGGAACAGGAGGAAAATGGCTGTGGACCATGTGGAACAGGAGGAAAATGGCTGCAGATCACGTGGAACGGGCAGGAAAATGGCCGCGGACCACGTGGAACGGGAGGAAAATGGCTGCGGACCATGTGGAGCGGGCGGGAAAATGGCCGTGGACCACGCAGAACGGGCGGGAAATGGCCGTGGACCACGTGGAACGGGCGGGGAAATGGCCGCGGACCACGTGGAATGGGCGGGAAATGGCCGCAGACCACGTGGCACGGGCGGGGAAATGGCCACGGACCACGTGGAACGGGCGGGGAAATGGCCACGGACCATGTGGCACGGGCGGAAAATGGCTCGTAAGTCAAGGCGAATTCGTAAGTAGAGGTAAATTTTTGGGCCTGGAGCTGATCGTATCTCGAAAATTTCGTAAGTAGGGGCGTTCGTAAGTAGAGGTACCACTGTATAATATAAATAAATATTTCTTAGCACAGTCCACGGAGTGATGATGCAGATAACTCTGTGTACTTTTTGTTCCCAAATCCTTCTGGTGTTCTTCCACCTAGACCCCATGGCCTTCCATTTAACCATGCTCAGGCTTTTTCAGAACAGTTGTCTAACTAGTAGTTTCTTAGGCCATCACTCTCACATCACATTGCCAAGGTATTCCTTCTTTTTTAGATGCATCTTCAGGGGAGACCAAACTATTCTTACGTACTACCATTTTACCCATCCTATAGCAATAAATGTGGTTCATGCTTATTAATTTACAAGGTGCCTGTTTTCATATATGTGTAGGACCCTATCACCTTCCCTCCCTTCACTTTATAGTTGGTTTGCAAGTACCAGTATTCTGTTTTACCATTTGATCTTCCCATGCCCCCTAGAGGCTCTGGGGTTTTAAGTTCACGGCACTGGTTATGAAGGATCTTCACCTTATTATTTCCATATTTGGACACTGGCTCTTAGCTGAGTCATACTTCACTTAGCTTTCTCAGATATTTCTCCCTTTACATGACTTGATACTCGGGGCCAAGTGTATTAAAAAAAAAACTTCTTCCCACATCATCCGGTTCTTGAGAATGATACTCAGTGTTATTAGAGGAACTGTCATGACAATATATGATAGAAGTGCTTGCATGCAATGTCTTCCCAGCAGCAAAAGCAAAGACTTGTGTCATCCTCCAGTTACTGCATTACATGGCAGTTGTGGCCTTGTTCATTCGTTTCACCCATCTTTGGATATGCTTCTAAGTGTGCTACCTGTGCATCATCCCCTTGGGTTCAGATGTCATACAGCTCCCATCATTCTATCCCACCTAGATTTGTGGAGTCGCTTCACTGATAGTTACATTTAATCTCATGGAGGATGTAATTTTGTGCTTTCCTGATGCAGGTCCTCATCACCAGCACATCTATGGCAGGTGAGAAATACATTTTTGATCTCTTCCTATCCTCATATCTAATATATTTGAATCATACTAGAAGCATTGCAGCATATCAAGAATTGGAACTGTCCAAATTGTTTCAGACAATGCTGGAGCTATCTAGTAGATAAACAAGATTACATGAGATCCCACGTTTTCCTTTCATACTGCATATATGGCTTTCGTGTGTTCTGTGTTCCATATTTACTCTGGCAGTCCATCTGCTGGAAACAACTGTGCTCTGGCCAAATAGCCCAGCCCCAGTCAGTTGACCACTCACAAATGGAGACTTCATCAAATAATTATGATTTTCTTCATATCCTGTTGGGGCAAACCCAAGGTCAATCTCTTTGCACTTCAGGAGAACCACCAATGCCTAAGCTTTTGTTCTGGGGGTGGAATACATTCATAGTCTCTAGGTGACGTTTTTGTCTCCTATATCATTTTCCAACAGTTCCCCTGTTAACCAGAGCTCCTTCAACAATCCACAGAGATTCAGTGAACTCTGTCCTCATCACACAATGGTGGTCTTTGCAGCTGTAGTTTACTTCTCTTTTGGATGTCACTTGCTGGAGATATCACTACCTCCCAAACCATCCTGATCTACTCTCATTCATCAGGGATATGTATATACCACCCAGTTCTTGATTCCCACCATCTCAGTCTGGAGGATTCTGTCCTGTCTCCCTTATAGGTCTAGGTGGAGGAGATCTGGCTTCTCAGAAACCCTCCATGCGAAGTTTTTATGTGGCTGGGTAGAAATCCTTTTAGACTTCATACAAAAACAGTTCACTCTCCTATAATACTAGATTCATTATGTTTTGATGTTCCTTTCACAATAAAAACTGGCTTGGCACTCTCATAAGAATATAATTCTCAGCTGTCTTTTCCTTCAGCTTTTTGGTGGATGGCACCTTCATTTTTTTATAATGCATTGGAAAAGCCCTTCACTAAAAGCCTGGTTTGTCTCTCTCTACCAGAATCTCCATGATTCATGCCTTGATACTTTCTCATCTTATTTCCCAGTCTCTTGTCATGAATGGAAAGATTCCTCTGTTTTTTTAATGTCCTCAAAGCACTTTTCTTCGGCTTGAACTGAACAATACTGTTTGAAAAGCCCAATATCTATTTTGGCCATTAAAGGCCCATCTAAAATGTTGTGTTTGTTTTCCCAATAATGTCCAGATAGAGAATGGCAACCATCAAACTTTGTTTTGAGCTGGCGTTGAGTTCATGTTTATGCTACAACAGCCACATCTTGCCTTCATGGTATCCTTTTACTAGAGCTACACTTGGGCTCAGCTTTCACTCAACACCACCTTCTGGACCTCCACCATCTTCTGGACTTCCCTCAGGAGGCAGCCTTGAGAAGAGCAGTCATTTCTTTGGTCACCTTATGACTACCTGAGCCTCTTTTAGGTAATTAGCTAGCTATCCACCCATATGTGTGAATCCCAAGAACTGTAATAAAGAACTGGTTACTTAACTGTCACTCAAGTTCCCTGAGTAATCAAGTCTGAATTTGTACAAGTTGCCCTCCTACCCATTCAGTGTCAGGAACTAAGGAGGTTCAGCAGGAGCTATACCTAATTTGCATGGGATGTACAACAAGCAGAAGTCCCACCAAGAATTCCATAAGCTCTAGGAGATTCCAAACAGGCATTGTGTACTCACACACCCCATCTGTGCAAATTCACAGATGGCCTCTCAAAGAACTTCAGTTGCAGGTAAATAACCAATTATTTTGGACTGTATGATGCTGCCTAGACATTTAAGTCAATATATATAATAATCAGTTCAGTGAATACTTCAAGATTCTGTGAAAACTTTAGTGCCCTCCTGCCCACATACGCACAGAGAATTGCAGTTCCCAAGGGTAGGTGGGAGGACAAAATGATTATTAAATCAAATCAGACTAGTAAAACAAATATTTCTTATGCTGTCTTTGGCTATAGTACCATTTCCAGCACTCTGGATTAACTATTTAACTAAAATAATATTTTTCCAATTCTTGCTGTTTTATTACTTGTCTTATTTTGTTAATCTGCAGGTGCAGTTAAATAGAAGAATTACCATTATACCTGGCCACTTTTCCTGGCTATGACTTTATTTCCTTAAAAAAATATACCCAGATTTGTTTTCATGGTTGTTTAAAAGAATATACTATAAAATAGAGTGCTTATAAGCTTATAATTATGGTTTCATTGTTGCTGCATTTTTATGCTGTAAAAATAAATATGATTAAAATATTTTGCAGGTTTGTTTTTTTTTTCTTGTAGTTAATAAGAATTAACAGTAGAGTACTAGATTTTACTCTTTTAATGGCAACCAGCCTGTTCTGAGATCCTTCAACTTCATACAGATACTGCTAGGAGATCTATATCTGAACAATACTTTCCAGCTAGATAAAAGCGTGTAGCCAAAAAAACTAAGCAGAGTTGAGCTTGATTAGTTCTTGGAGGGAAAGAAAGCAAATACACAGTGTTGTAGTCTAGAGGAGAAAGGGTGGGGGGGAAACTTGGAAGAAGTTAGTGCAGGCTACTGTCACGGTTCTACCAGTGAAGTGTCAAAGTTGAGTTCAGTTTGGGGAAATCTTTACCTTAAAGGAAATTATCCTGTCTCCATGTTCTCCCTGTTACTTTGGTTGGAAAGCAGAACAGCAAGCAACAGCTTCCACCCATGCCTCACTTTTGGCTACAGGGCAGTTTTCACTTACCATATTTTTCCATCAATAAGACACCCCCATGTACAAGACCCCCACTTTTCCAACCCAAAATTAAGAAATCAATATTTTAAAGATAGTGCAGAACACATTTTTATTTAGTATTAAATAAAAATGTGTTCTGCACTATCTTTAAAATATTGATTTCTTAATTTTGGGTTGGAAAAGTGGGGGTCTTGTACATTAAATAAAAATGTGTTCTGCACTATCTTTAAAATATTGATTTCTTAATTTTGGGTTGGAAAAGTGGGGGTCTTGTACATTAAATAAAAATGTGTTCTGCACTATCTTTAAAATATTGATTTCTTAATTTTGGGTTGGAAAAGTGGGGGTCTTGTACATTCTCTCCTCGGCTTACTTCCTTGAATAAGACGCCCTTCAATTTTTAGCGTAAGGATTTTAGAAAAAAGTATCGTCTTATAGTCGGAAAAATACGGTATTCTTTTGCTGTAATTGATTTTCTCCCCACCTTAAAAGCACGTCATTTTTTCTCCGAAATGTTTTTTCCCCCATCACAACACTTGAAGAATCCAAACCTTTGTCCTACTATTTTAGTGCTTCAATGTTTCCATTTCTTTTTAAAATAAAACAAATATGTTAAGCATATTAGTGAACAAGATGGTGCCAGACTCTTAGTTCACCGAATCTGTAGTAATTAATGAAATTAAATTGTGAATTCTGGCCAGTGTGTGCATTTGCCTGGTTATTTGCATTTTTAAAAGTTCCTCACAGGTGTTGTGAGATCAGACAGGTCCAGAGCTGTTTAGATACAAAGCCCTTACTAGGATTTGCCTGTGACCATTTTTTAAAATAGGAAATTAGGCTCATTCCCACATAGTGTGATTATTTCAGTCTGATCCAGTCCCTAATAACAGTGATCTTGTGCAATGACCCATTCAGCTGCATAGCTCCAATAGCTTCTGCCATGTTTAACGAAGGCATTTGGCCAGTTATTAAGAACAGAGAAATCATTGTTTTTAAAAATGGAAGAGATGGAGAGATGTTAAGAGTCTAGAAAAAGCTGCCTCCCCCCTTTTCTGAAGCATATGCCTCTAATGCTCATACATAGAGGTGCAGAATTTCTTAGCTCTTGGGTAAGTCTATTTGTGTTACCTAAGCAATTCTTCCCCCTCAACAACCGTATGTGCGTCATTCAGTGACTCAGGAGACAAACATTGCCTGTTTATCATTACATTAAAATATCTGGTGCAGATGTTCTGCTATGGTTTTACTGGAAAAGCAGTTCACGTAGCTAGGCTATCTTGTGTTTATTAAATTACTATCAAGTGATTTAGATTCTATGGGGAAAAAAAAAATCTATCATCACCAGAAAGTCATTTGAAGTTGCTGGTTATGTTGGAAAGCTGCAGGTTCAACACAGAACAACTGGGTTTCCAGAGATTGTAGAATTCTAATCTCTATAATCTTCTAATACTATAAACTGTAGATACTGATGCATTTTCCATACAGACCTTCCTGTTGGCAGAAAGAAAGGGAGGGTAAACATGAATCCAGGGGAGTTACCTTCATCCGATATGTGAGGTGCAAGTATGAAAAAGTCATTCCACTCTTAGAATTAGTAAACTAGCTGCATGACTGTTAGCTGCAATAACTATAAATTAAACTGCTTCCTTCAACTGGTGTTTTACATCTGTGTATGGGAATTTTGCCCATTCAACTCAACAACATTTGAGGGTTTTCTGGCACTATTCATTTCAGGTCCTGCCACATAATTTCTATGGGAACAAGTCCTTCTATGGGAACAACAGATCTTTTATTTCAACCCGAGATTGGTATAAATTTCATAAAACTACAGGCATACACATAGTGCCGTTGCTAACTTACCTTAATGATACATGCAGTCCATAAGATATACTAATGTAAATATTTAATAAGAATAACAGTTATTCTCTGTTATTCTATATGTCTAAAACTAAATTCATTATTAAGTCTAATATGTTTTATGTATTTATTTTTTAATTGTTGTACGCTGCCCAGAGTCACGTTGTGTGAGACAGGCAGCTATATAAACAAAATAAATAAACAAAAGAACCAGCCCTAGAACACCATGTTTTGGGTCCAGATCAAACGTGTACATTGCACACCCTGTTCCTGGGTGATAAAATAAATGTGTTTCAGTCTGGATATGAACTGCCCAGACCTGTACCTATTACTATATAACCAAAGGCCAGCCAAGTAAAATGCTTAGTCAAACTAAATAATAATGTAAAAACAGTATATAACTGATTAGAGGATGCACCTGCAAAATCTAGCTGAACATATCCACACATACTCATTTGAAGTCTAAACCCACACCAAGACAGGATGCAAGTTTAGATCAGCTAGCCATTGTATGGCCACTTTACAAAGGCAGCCTAAATATTTCATGTCGCAATTCTACACACACTATCTCGTACTGTATGCTGTCCAGAATGTTGCAATATTATATGCATTAAAGTCAATTTTGTATGAAAACAGTGAAGAGAATTGCTCTCATTGGCCTTAACGATGCAACAAGAAAAGTGTGATGTACTTGGTGCAGTAATCTCTATTAAAGGGTATGGTGGAGTTAAAACATTTTAGCATTTTATGTCATTCTCAATCCACAAAAGCAGGTCCGTTCCTCATAGGGCAGTGTTTCTCAACCGTGGCAACTTTAAGACAGGTGGACTTCAACTCCCAGAATTCCCCAGCCAGCCATAACACTGTTATAGGGGATGTTTCAAAATTTGCCCTGCAGGATATCCAAAGGAAGCCTATCAAACTTTAATGTTCTCCCATGTATGAGGAATGGAAGAAAGGAGGGATAATGGTAGGTTTTCAAGAACATACAAACTTCCTGTTTTTACATTCTTAGCTGCACATCACTTTATGGAGTCCTTGGGGTTCTCTGAGCTTGGTTCTTTTCTTGCAAATGTTTCATTACCTG